GTACCCCCATCTCTTTAAGAATTTGCCACAGTTTGTTGTGATCCACACAATCAAAGGCTTTTGCATAGTCAATGAAGCAGAAGTAGATGCAAGAGCTACCTTTCCCAATATGGCACTATCTCAACTCATTCAACAACAGCCGCTTGCTAGTATCCTTTTTTGGGTCAGGGCTCAGAAAAGATGGTGGTCACTTAACTTTAGGCATCTTTGGCAGTGTAATTTGTGACAGCAGAACGGCACCAGGTGCCTTACAGTCAACATCTATAGCTTCTAAAAAATAAATGGTAAGGATCATCAAAACACTTTGTGCATGGAGCAGCTGGCTATGGATGGCCCATGCCTGAACCAAACCATGCGTGTTTCGGATACTTCAGTCCTTATTTCTTCCAAACATAGACCAAAAATGCAGTTGTTCTGGGCAAAAGTGCTACAGGGAGTAGGGGAGTAAGAGCAAGAAAAAAGCCATGTTTGAGGGATTTCCTTGGTAACAACGTTGATTCAGATATCGATGGCAGATGAGAGGAGGAAAAGTGCAGAAAAGACTGAGGGCAAATAGATGAGTGATTTATTTTTATTGTTGCTTTTTATTGATATTTTAATAATTGTAACTTATTGCAACCTGTCCAAAGTCTTTAAGTTGGGTGGGCTATAAAAACTGTACTATAATTATATATCAAATCGGAGGTGGTAGCTGAGAGAAGATTGGGGGCAGGTGGGCAGCACATGGACCCTCAAGAGAAGAGATGGGGACGGGGTACACCAACCCTGCTGTATTCATCCTGTAAAATCACTCCAGAACACCTGCAGGTTTTGTTTTGGATAACTGAAGCTGATCCTAAATGCTTTGGCAGAACTTCTAGAATGGGATGGCATGTGCAGATTCAAAACAGAACATATTTTCACACACATCCCTAATTCAGACAAACTGGATCAAAAAGGGGCTACAAGGATGATCAGGAAATTAGAAATTAAGTCTCATGAAAGGAGATTGAATAAAATTATTATGCTTCACCTCGAGAAAGACAATAGGAGAGAGAAATGAGAAGGTGTCACCCAGAAGATCAAGACCTGTTTTCTACCACCCCAGAGGGGAAGACAATGAATAGTGGTTGTAGATTATGGGAACATTTTTAGAAAAGATTTCCTACAAGTAAAAAGAGTTTAACAGCTAAACCAATTACTAATAGAAGTGGTGAGTTTCTCTTAATTGTATGTGCTCAGCAGCCATCTGTTTTGATTGCTTTGATTTGGATTACAGTACTGGACTTAGCCACGTCCAACTTGGTGATTCTGTGCTGTGAGAGAGGCAGCCATGCTGGACATCCATCTTGATATTTTGGCAACTTTCAATACCATCAATGAAAAAATACTTTGCTGGATAAGCTCTATAGTGTAGGACTAGAAAACCAAGTAAGAGGATGTTGGTTTTTCAAAAAATTAATAATGAAAAAATAATAAAAAAATAATTATTTCAATAAAATAATCATGCAAGAAAGTGCTATTCAGAAACTTCTGCTTAATTCCATGGCAAATGGGCTGCAGGATCCCTACGGTCCATCTTATTCATCACATTCTTTAACACCTATACTAGCCCAGGAGCTGCACACAGCCCCCAAGTTGAGTCACGGTGTTCATTTAAAAATCAACTGATTTCTGCATTCTAAAGTATATTTTAATGTTTTAAAATTGATACTGCACCTATTTTTTGATATGGTCCTCTTGCCTCAATCCCTTGGCACACGCCAGCCTAAGTGACTTAGCTTGAAAACAATTGCTCTGGCCTAATTTATATGAAGATGTGGATGAAGTGACTTAGGGGATATACAGGTAGTCCTTGCATAATGACCACAATAGGGACTGGAAAATTCATCGTTAAGTGGGGCAGTCATTAAGCAAGGCATCACGTGACTGCACCTGATTTTACAACATTTTTTGCAGTGGCTGTTAAGTGAATCACTATAACTGTTAAGTAAATCATGTGGTCATTAAGCGAATCATGCAGTTCCCCATTGTTTCTACTTGCTAGAAGCCAGCTGGGAAGGTCGCAAATGGCAATCATGCGACCCCAGGACACTGCAACTGTCATTAGTGTGAGCTGGTTGCCAAATCCCCAGATCGTGATCACATGACTGCAGGGGCACTGCGATGGTCATAAGTGCAAGGATCAGTCGTAAGTAACTTTTTCAGCACCGTCATAACTTCAAACAGTTGCTAAACAAATGGTCGTTAAGCAAGGACTACCTGTATAGTGAATTGACAGCAGTAAACTGATGACACACGCTTGAATTTCTTGTGATCTTGATCAGGTAAGGTTGAACGAGGTTGAAGTAATCCTAATTTTAACCCAATTAAGATGTGAACTGCCTATTTTATACATTTCCTGTTTTTTACTGCTATGATTGAAGGTTTTTTCCACTGCACATATTTTGTATACCTATCCAACATCATAAAAATCATATAAAAGTATTTCTAGCAAAGAGATACTAAAATAAAGCTTCCATATGCAATCCAAATCTGTTTCACAGTGCTAAATAATAGACTAGCTGTAATGAGCTATCTCCTTCCCACCACAACTATGGGCTTGAAAGAAGCATCTAGCTCTTTCAGAAGAGAGTTCTAGATTAAAAACTGAAGTTTTGGGCTGACTCCTTATAAACAGGTAAATTTGCACAATACCAATTACACTTTAATTGCTAAGAAATATAAAGTACACACATTTTCTTTATACATATACAGTAACAAGTTTCCATGGATGGTGGGCAGTAATAACAAAAGCAGGGAGAAACTTACTCTGTTCTGATGGATATTCCCGTGTTGGAAGATAAACTGAAGGCCTTCTGTTCTGTAAATAATTTTTTTTAGAAAATAAAGAGTTATGCTGCATGTAAAAGGCAGTTCAGTCCCCATATTGTTAAACATTCAAGTTGCAATTGTAACTGAATATTTATTTATTTCTTACAAAATAAGAAAAAGGTAACATTCCAAACACATCTTCAGGGCACCAGGTCCTAAGGAAAGCTGACCTGTTACTTGTTAGAATTCTCCAAAGCAGTGTTTCTTAACCTTGGCATCTTTAAGATGTGTGGACTTCAACTCCCAGAATTCCCCAGCCAACATGGCTGGCTG